CATTTTAAGTATACTAATGATGTTATTAAATATTTCGATGTATTGATACAATGGATTGTGGTTGTTTAAATGGGTTGTGGTAGTTTTACGATTTCTGTGAACAGATTTTACACTTTTTCATTTCTACGTGCACATGTATTTTCAGATTGATTTCGAAATTTATCAATATGACGACAGCGTTGAATGAAATCTCAAAATAATTTAATAATATTATTCATAAAAAAGTTCCTACAAATATCTAAATACTTTAGTGAGCAATTGGCACGATAAAACGAAACGTTGTACAATGTTACGTATCTTATTTATAGGCTATGACGATAATTTATGTCGTATTAATAATTTCCAGCTCCCGAAGTGGGTCCCACAAATTACGAAACATGTATATAAACGACCGATCGTGAAATAGGAATCTTCAGCGTCAAAACAAATTCGTAACCACGCGACTAGCATAATCGAAATTTGCGCACACGGAAATCAACGAAAGGAGAAAAGCGTAACGAAAATCGGCAAGCAACTTTCTCCAAACGAGTACTATCGAAGGTCAGGATTTTTTCGCCGAAAGTATTATCGATCACGTGCAAATTCCATTTAGCCCAAGTGTTGATCGTTATGAAACCACGACCGTGATAATTCTCTGACTATCGTATGACATTGCTAACATGGGAACTGTGTTGCTTCGAAGGTGCTTATCGTCCGCGAAACCGATAATTCCCTATCGATCTTTTTTAAAGTGGACTTCGGTATTTGCATTTTATTCTTGCCTTTATTTTGCTTTTCGCACTTGTAAATATCGAAAGTGGGAATTGCCTGAAATTTTCCACGTTGACCATAGAAATTTGGCATTTGGAATTATAGGGCGTTTGATTCTATTTTGTATTTATGTTATATTAATCATATCAGTCGTATTATGTTAATTATAATACACATTAATTTAAAAGAATATAGGAAATATATAAAAATAAGAGTATTTTATATATTTTCACATGTTATATACATTTTCTAGATTTTTACAATTTTAAATTTCCCAAAAATGCATAAACATCCACAATCCAATCACTATAAAATTCAATTAAATGAAAAATTTCAGTATCAACTAAATAATTTACTTTTCATTTGTTCTGATCGACAATGGTTCAACGATACCATGTGAGAGTTAAAAAATTTCAAACATCGCGTGTTCTTTTTTTTAATTTGTCCATAACATAGTATATTATCTTGGTAACATCATGCTATCTCAATAATGTAACCCAAATGCAAAGATAGGAGGTTCTAGCTGACAATAAGAAGATAAATTATTTCGCAACGATTTAGAGAAATTTCAGAGCTTTATTAAATTACTGATTCATCGCGAATCAATCGGTCACGGTCATCTTATCAGCGCTTTCGCGAACAAGCATAATCGCCGAAGTCATATCGCTTATGTAATTAGAAACAGTGGTTTCGTAACTTCGAGTTAAACTAGCGAAATCGTATTTTTTTTTTTTTTTTTAATCACAACGCGACACAACAATCTTTTTGAATTAATTATTATTGTTAAGATTTCGATGTGAAACATGTTTTATTATTATTAACACATATCTTATTTACGACAATTCCCCACGAAAGTATTTGAACATTCGCAGAAACTCTACGAATTATGTGTAACATTTTGAAATTTCATTAACACTGAATTAAGAAATAACTATCGTGATTGTAGTCACTGTTGTACATTGTTAATTCAAAGAAATATAAGGATACTTTCACGAATCACTGTCACTTGAAATATATAAAAAGCATAATAAACTAATGAGACAGTATCTCTTCTCACACATTTGACACAAAATATATAACAATTATAAATTTTATAATTAAACAAAATAAAAGTGGAATTCTTCAACGGTATTAACGATCGTTAACATATCGAGCCAGAACGATTACGATTTCGATTTCGAATCGTTATGTTATGTCTCCAGCTATTATCAGGAGCAAAAAAAAAAATCACACGTAACACACATACTCTCCGTTCTGTTTCTGTCCAATTATATCAAATACTTTAACCATCCCAATCAATATCCCCAGCGAGTCGTGCAAAAAAACGCAACTACGAGTCGATTCATGGCCAAGCACGAGCCATTAAGATGACATTTTATCGTCGCTGTTCGCGGAGATATCCGTCCGTTGCGCAAAAATGCCAGCCCTTTATACAAAATTAATTACAACGGCGTGATCGTACGACGATCTGCGGCGTTCTTAAATCGCGGCTTCCTCTGACGAGAACGAAAGAACGCGGCTGAAAGGTGTTGATTTCTCTCTGAAAATTGACGAGATCGGACCTCTCCGTGACTTGGCTGGAATTCCGTAGTTCAGTGCACGAGAGGCAAGAAAATACGGGTGAACCGTTGGTCAGTCGTGACGTCGATGGACTGACTGGTCCTTAGAAAAGGCGAAGGAGATGGCAGGAAACCGAGGAAGCCCGCAAAAACTCGTCGTTACGTAGGAGAGTTTCGTTCGAAAATGGAAGTGTGCTTGAAACTGGAGTAGGATAAATTTCATTTCGAACGACGAATAGAACGATAACGAACGAAAATTTCGAGCTCTTTCGTGAATAACGTGGTTATTCATGGATCGTAGAATAAACTTTGTCGGAATAAAAAATCATCTTGAGTACACTAAATTGCACAACAAAATCTATTGTACTCTATTCTGTTATTGGAATATTATTACTATATTATATTACTATATTATTATTATGTTACATTATGTTACTATATTATTGCTGTATTACATTATATTACTATATTTTTGATATATTATATTACTATATTATTGCTATATTATATTATATTACTATATTTTTGCTATATTTTATTATATTAATATATATATATACAGTCTTATCTATTATATCTAGTCATACGTGTACGGAACGTACGTGTAGAACGTCGATTCGACAAATTACAAACCTCTCCGGTCTGCATTTTACAAATTCAAATTCGAGCTCGCTCGAATTGCGAAATCACTCAGTTGCCGCAATCATCCATGAACGTTTCCACAGTCATCCCGTTCACGCTCGCGGAAGAAAAAAATCCCTGCATAATAGAAAGGGGTTAAAGCACCCCGGGTGCTCTTCCTCCGCGCGCAGGCGAACCGCGAAAGCTCGTCCAAGAATTCCATCGTCCATAGATCCCATCAGCATAGATAAACATTCTCTTTCTTGGCCGGGACCTTTCGCGCGAGGCTGGAGAGAGAACTCGAGAAATAAGCGGTACTCTTTTGTGGCTCGGCCTACCCGTATCTCTTCTCCTAGCTTCCTCCCCTTCTCTTCCGCTCTCCCCCCTCCGCCCCTTTCCACCCTATCATCCTTCTCTATCCTCGTTCCTCTAGTCATGACGCGGTGTACACTCGCGACGTGTTACACGACGAAGAAGGGATGGTATTGTGTCTCTACGTTGGTGTATATACGCTGCAAGCGTGCAAATCCGCGGCCCCCTCGTGTACGGGTATAATCGTTTATTTCGCGTCGACCTTTGCGGGGCACTACGTCAAAATGTCAGACGCGACCCCGCCTGAGCGTAGGGAAGATGCACTGGGAACGTTGTAATGGGCTTACAAAGCGTAACAAACTGATGCGAGGTCAAACACACGACGGGCAATAAACACACGGAGAGATAAATGGGCCCTTAAGGTGCACGGGCATATATACCACCACGTCGGGGGAAAGTGTTTCGTTTCGTTTCGTTTCGTTTCGTTTCGTTTCGTTTCGTTTCGGCTCCAACCACCTAGGACTTCCTTTGCTCGCTCGCTTTTACCTTTAGTCTTCTTTCTTTTTTTTTTCTTTTATTTTCTTTTCTTTTTTTTCTGTTTTTGGAGCTTTCTTTCGAAGCTAGAGATAATGGCGAGTCGTTAACGATTATTTACAAGGCAGGATATTTATTATTAAAGGATCGCGGGACTCTTGATCCTATCGAATAATCCTTTGATCCCGCTTTGATCTACCATCTCCATCTCGACGAACCGACCGGACGAAGTTTTTGCTCAAATTATCATCGTGTTGTATTATATTGTATAAATTATTATTATTTATTGAAGTATCTATGTGTAAAGTATCTGTTTTGAAATTTACACTAACAGCGTGTGCTTCATTCGACGAGCAAAGGAACGTTGTACCGAAATGTTGAACAGAAATTTATTCGATACATTTATCAACCTATTCAGAGGTAGTTTGAAAACTTTCGATGGAAGATGAAAGATCGGACGCTCGCGAGCGCAATTACACGTTTGTATCGAAATGATCATGACGTTAACGTTCGAATTAGACAGTTGACAGAACGATATCGCGACCTCGGTCGCTTCGAGGGCCTCGAAGATGGGCATGAAGATCGCCGTAAGCCACAAGTGACTTACGAAGCGTAACAAACTGACACGAGTTTAAGCACGGGACGGGTAATAAACACGCGGAGAGATAAATGACCAGTTGGTCCAACGATGCACTCTCGAAGAAAGTGTATCATTTCGACTAGATCTTTTCGCTACGAAATAAATCGCCGTTGAATCGTTTGAAGAGGCGGAAAGTTTAAAGACTGCTACGCTGTAACCTCGCAATCGACTGCTAATTTTTATGTAGATTCATAGTTTTTGAAAATTGTGAAAATTTTGAAGATTGAACTTTGGTAGACAATTTTCAAATTTACCACGGTAAATCGTAACTGTACTGTATATTTTATTATTTTGTTATTTTGTTGTTATCTTTCTGCAAATGCACAATACATTAAATATTCGAAACATAATATTTAATAGATAGAATAATTTTTTATTCAAGTTTCATTTCTTTAATTTTCTCCGTAAATTTGCACAAATATGCACAGCCTAATATTATCACGTATCAGAATTTATTCCTGAAACATTGTAATAATAATTACAATTGCTGAAAGTCAAAAAGTCTGAAGGTATAAAGGAATTATTTGTACAAAATCTTCGTAATAAATTGTTAAAAATAGGGTTACTAACTAGGGTCGTGAAATGTTCGTTTCAGATGCCACAGACAGTACCTACCGCAGCCGGCTACTCGCCGTCATTCGATTACAGCACATTCCAGTTCGATTTGTCCCTTCTATCGGACGATTATGCGGCAACAAACGCACAGAACACGCTGAAGACAGCGCATATCAAACAGGAGGCGCAGTCGCCTCGTCCTGGTTCGCCGACCGCTTATTCGAATTCACCTTATCCCGGCGCCGGTGGTGAACTGTCACCAAACTACTCGCACGAAGGTTCACCGGGATATCCGACAAGTCCCTATTACGTGCCCAGGAGTCCTCAAAGTGCTCAGTTCTATCCGACCAGCCCGGAACCCTCGGCGAAGCAACCAGTGAAAAGGGAGAAGAGCCTCGATCTTCTCGCCATCCTGCAAGAGTCTAGGTAAGTCATCTTCTCTTTCTGCAATTCTATCAGTGAATTGATCGATCGGTTAAGTTGTTTGATGCACGAATTGCACGAGCTTCAAATTAAATAAATTACTCCATCAAAAACAGGAGTCTACAGAATCTGTTCGAGAAATTGACGATGACTGTTGGAATCGGGATTGTTTTGTACAAGTTCATATTTTTGTGAATTCTCGTAGATACGTTGAAACTTGTTGGAAATTATAACTTTGGATATTTTATATACACTACTTTCTGCTTTCTTAGAGGCTATATATATATAGATAGATAGATAGATAGATAAAACGCAAACCTCTAAGAGGGCATATATATATATATATATTTATTTATTTATTTATTTATTATATAATAAGGATTATATATTTATCTATATTTATATAATATATTAATATAATATATATTTATCTATATTTATATAATATATTAATTTTATATTTTATTATATATATATTATATATTTTACTATAGTTATCTATATATAATCTATGTCAAAGAGAAAGTTACTTCTCTTATTTTATTATTCCAACATCTATTTCGTGAATTTTATTAATTTACAAATTATATTGTTATTCTATAAATTTACAGTATAGTGATACGATTCTTCGAAAAAGGACTTTCGTCTTTTTTGTATACAATAAAATTTGTCGCATTATTACGCCGATCTTGAGGGATTAAAAGTCTCTCACAAACGTAAAGGCAGTCCAACAGTTACAAGATGGAGTCTCTAACAAACACCCTCGGCACCCTTGATTTCAGACTCTTGGCCGAGAGTCTGGGCTACAGGGAGGATTCGACCGATTGCACAGTGCCGTGCACGCCGCCCAGAACCGAGGAGGACATTTACAACAGCCTTGACGCGGACTTCTTTGCGAAGAAAGAGGATACCGCAGTGCAAGGGCATCCGTTGCTGAAGGAAATCCTGTTCAAGGAGGAGCCACGATCCAGCTGCAGCAGCAGCAGCAGCAGCAGCAACTCCTCCAGCAGTTCCTCCTCCCCGTTGTCGTCCTCGTCGTCGAGCACTTCCTCCTCGCCGGATCCCGTGGAACTCGAGAACAGTTCACCTCTGAGGAGCTTGCTGTTCAAGGGTACCAGAAAAGATCTCGCGGACGCCGCGATCGCGAGAACAAATGTTCTGAAACTCGAGAGAATACAGGACGAGGTCAGGAATAATCCTCTGCAAAAGGAAGAGGAACTGTTCAAGGACGGGCAGAAGAGCGACCATCAGTTGCTCAGGGAGGTTCTGAGGGACACGAGCTTCCAGAGGAAGTACAATCTGAGACCGGTGGATCTGGGCAGCGTCGGGACTGGGTTCGTGGAAGACATGGAAGCCGGCGAATGCGTCGGCGACCTGACCAGAGAACAGATCGAGCCTGTCCTTAGTCTTGCCATCCAGCAGCTGCAAAAGGACTTCGACAACACCTGCGTGGCACTCGGTATTCACCCTGGTGAGTGAATCTTCTCTCATTAATTTTCATTAATCGTTCATCAAATTTGCTGGAGGAGATTGGTAACTTTGAACGAATACAATTAGTTTACGCGTTGGTAATAACAAGTATTCCTGTTGAAAGCAGGATCTTCGATGTCCCTTCTTGAGTTTTCACGTTCATCGTGAATACTCGCGAAATTGTATTCTGTCAACTTGAATAATTATATTACATACCAGTATTCAAGAATCTTTGATCATTCCGAAAGTTTCTTAATTTAAGGCATTGACTCTGTTATATCACAATTACGTCACGATTACGTTTGCTGAAAAAGAATTAAAAACGTATTGTAATAATAACTAAAATGAAGGGACTACTTCGAGATTAAATGATTCAATCAAAAATGTAAAGATTAGAGACCGAAAGGATCAAGGCGCACTTTCAACGAATCAATAATTGTCAGAAAAGTATTGTCGTGAGGCAATTGTAGAATGATAAATTAATAAATACAAACGCGGAAAGATGTAATCTTGGTAAAAAATAAGGAGATGCGTGAGCGTCCATTAGACTCCTTAGACCTTCTTCCGCTACCTTGCCGCGGGCGACGTTATCTTCGTGAACGTAGGAGCGACCGGTTCGAACTATTAGTTGGTCGCATGATGTCACGCTCGGAATAAGTTACAGAGTCACACCATGCTTTCACGTACGGTTACGAAATTTCGAGAGCTTCGCCTCAAGGTCGTGTTGTTACGCTTCCGTTATTTTTCTAACATCAACGTCCACGATCGCGTCACGATATAAATGAAATTAAAACAAAAAAGGGTAAAGTACGTACAGAATATGATGATGCAAGCCTTACTATTGCAATCAGTATCAGGTTTACGGCTGAGTCTAACACTGCTTGTTACAATTATAAAGTTAAGTGCTTTAGAAGAGGTGTATATTCTAAAAATATCGTGAACCATTTCCGAAACGAATATCCTTACTTTGTCCACCTGGACTCCTAAAATTCAAACGTCGAAAGTTTGACAGTGAAATGTGCCTGTCGCGAAACCTCGCTACCGTGCATTTTAAGGCGAGACAGACTGAAGATAAAAAAGTTGAGAAACGAATGAAATCTTGCGTGTACTGAGCATATGAAATTAAAAAAAGAACGTAGCTTCATTGGAAGGTAAATAAAGTGAAGGAACAATGCTCGTAATAACATAACGAGTAATCAAGTGTCAATATTTATTTTTTTTTCAACATTCAAGTTAACCCCCCCTTGCGCTGGCAACTTACGATTTGCGGACCATAACGAGTGTCCGAACCGTATACAATAATTCGTCGCTTTCTTCTTCTTTTGAACTCGTCGGTATGATCCATCATTGGATAGAAATTATTAAGAAGCGATAAACTTATCATTTGTTTTGCCTGGATTACATTCGGATATACTTAAAACTGAGAAAATGTTGCAATTCTGGAACAAAAAGCGTGGCATTCTAGCGCAAGAGGTTAAATCGGTAAACGCGGAATATTCTGAATAATTATTATTTCCGTGACAAACTTGTTTCCTCCCAATTTCTAACAATCTAACAATCGTCTATCTCGTGTCTACTTAATAGACTACTTACTAAAAACAATTATTTTAATTTGTATAAAAATAATTGCAGAGCCTCGACGTTGGAGCGCCGCGGACGTAGCAGCGTGGATCCAATGGGCCAGGAGGCAGCTGCAATTGCCCTCGGTGCCACTGGAGAGCTTCAACGTGGACGGTGCTACGTTAACATCGCTGACGGAAGAGGAATTCTGTCAGCGTGCCCCCCAGGTGAGTCCGAGAATAATCTTACGAAAGATTGACTACGGGGCTCTCTCTCCCTCTTTCTCCCTCTCTCTCTCTTTCTCTTTCTCTCCCTTTCCTCGAGTCTCTGTCGTTCGCCAGAGCTCGTCTGCTTTTAAATCGGCCAGCGCATAAGTCGCACTTTCAACGGGTACCGTTACGCAACGCCAGTTCCTCGAGACAGACGAGCAAACGACGATTACTCGCTGACCGTTTTAACGAAGCAATTAGCCAGTGGAATTTCGTGGTGTTTCGATGAATTCGCCGGTGCAAAACGTTCGGTCAATGGATGATTGCCGGCCGGATGATTCCTGCCGATGACGTTCAATAGCCGAATAAGAGAATCATGCCGGCAGATGAGGAAGCTCCACTACTTATGTACAATCGCGTTAATTACTTGAAATTGGTTATTAGCCGCTCGTATGAAGTTATCAATTCGAGTTTCGGTCCTGAATAGAAGCCCGTCCGGCTAGGCATCGATTAACGTTTCTCCGAGAGGTAACTTATCGAGTTACTTCTAACGAGACACGTATTTATGTGAGATATTTTTTTTTTTATATCATATAGATCCCACGCGATTTTCACAATTTCAAGTTTCATATTAAATAGGAATACATTTATTTTACTTAATTTCTTATATATATATAAATATAATAATTATTTAATATATTAAATATATATATATATATATTTATTATTAATTTAATCATTGTATTTTATTTTTAAAAATTAATTTTTTTTAATAATTATATATATACATATATGATAATTTTATAAATTTAAAGTAATCTTTAAAAAAATTAATAAATTATAAAATTTTTTTTATTATTAATTAATACTGAAGTCACAATTTAGAAAATAAAATTAATTAAATAATAATATTTAATTAATTTATTTTATATATATATATATAAATTAAATTTATTTTAAAAAACTAGATATTAATAAATATGATAAACATTTAATTTCTAAATATTTATTTTTTTATTTTACAAAAAATAATATATATATTTATATAATTAATAATAATATATATATTTATATAATTTACTTTCGAGATAATTAAAATTATTGAAATAAATTAATTAACCCTGATACAAAATAAATATTTCAATTAAATTTAATTTTATTTAATGTAAATAAATAATTTTATATTTTCTGGTCGCTGCCTTTGCTAGTTGTTTTTTACACTTTGTTTTTTACATAGTTATTCTATTTACGAAAAGCATGGAATGTATAAAAATCAATAAAATTGCATCAAACGCTAAAATTAGATTCTTAAATATTTCCTACATATAGTTTAATATCTGTTTAATATATATTTTCACATAGGAGAATGACAGGGAAATTCCAATCAACCGATACGGGAGAATGCTAGAAAAGAAAAATCCTAATTCGGAAAGTTTCGTCAGATGAAACTTCCTCGATCGATACGCAGGAAATTCCTCGATCGGAGAGAGTCTCGGAGAACGATGACTCATAAATGAAGAGGTATTAGAACGCGGTATTCCCAATATTCGTCGACACAGAAAATGTCTCCGATAATTTTGATAGGCGTCTACAAAGAAACAATAGCGCTTTGAAACAACGTTCATCTCTCTCGCGATCGAACGATACCGATCATTGCGCGCAGAATTTTGTTTCACCTTTCGTGAGAAAAGAGGGAAATCCGACGAAAAATAAAAGAGCTAGCTCGGCCCACGTTTGATAAAAAGAAATTAATGGCGCGGATCATTCTTGGAGGAACGCTTGTGGACAAGGTCCGGTGAAAGTGAATTTCCTGGAGATCGGTGTGCGTCGACGTTCTTTCCTCGTAATCCATACTGAACGGGCTAGGAGGAATGACACGGTATGAGTAAGCAACTGGCGTAATAATACGGTTTCTGCCGCTTAACGGAACCGGGATTCTCCCGATATACCTTTTGTACGTCGCCGGAATACGTGTTTTTAGCCTCGCCATGATCGCTGATTTCTGTACTCTCGGCTCGATAGACCGTCACTGACAATGAGGAAAATCGACGAGCCTTAAACTGATGAATCGAACATATTTTGTATAATATAAATTAATAAATTGTTAAATAAAATTAATATATATTAAAATAATCAAAATAATAATAAATTATTAAGTATAAATTAATAAATATTATATATAACCCAAATAATCGGGTTTAGCGAATTTGCACTTGAAGAATCTTAAATAGGTATCTATCATAAAAGGAATTTCACAATTTGCTTTGTCAGCATAATTTTCTATTTTAAGTATGCAATCAGTCGAGGAAATTTCTGTATATCACGTTGAATGTAATGTAATTTTTTGATATGAGGTGCGGAGAAATTTGTTACTGTTCTGTTTTTCTATCTCATGGAATATGTAATCTTATCTCTTTATTTAGTGTCATTTTGTTTAAAACAGTCACAGCGAAATCGATCTTAAATGTAGGCGAAATTTCATCAGAATGTTCCCCATTTTTCTATCTTGCCGAAGAATATGGGGAATATGTAATATCCTCATAACTTCGGTTCTGTAGATATACAAATACAAATACTTATATCTCAGGCTCAGTTTCCATCCAGCGCCACTTAACAGCCGCGATAAAGATAAATTAACTTCTCTGTCAACATGAATATAAAATGCCTTCGTCTTGATTTAGTAATTACTCCTTGAATTGTTCACGTGTTACGGAGACAAAAGAATCGTTCAACATTTATTTATGTCCTACGAAAAATTGCTTTGAAGCAGAAAACCAATTTTTTATAAAGGAGGATTAAAATAGAAAACAAAGGAGGGTGATGTGAAACCGTCTCTTTGGTATTTCGAGGATTAAATTAATCGAAACGAACGATTTCCAAAAATGTCGGGATAACGGTGTTCGCGGTTAAACGAAAGGGGGCAATAACTCCTGGTTAATGTCTCGTGTCAGTGTCCAAAGTTGAACTCGTCGTCGGTCACAATCCGTGATGAGACGTGGCGCAATTTTACAGTGCAAAAGTTAACGAAGATTAACGGGTCTGACTCGCGGCACGGAAACCGATGATCTCGATATGTCGGCGGCCCTTGTCTCCTAAAATCATACGTCGAAATCAGCGAACGAAGCCGAGTATATACCTACATTAGCGCAGGGATATGGAGATGATCGTGCATAATGGATTTAACTTTATATCTTGTAATTGGATAATTGTACCGCGCCGTAATCCACTGTTGACTCGTTAACATAGAATCACGATCGGACATCATGGTCACGTTGCTATCCGCAATTTCGCGAATTCTTTTTCGTCTGAAAATCATAAGATTGTGGTAATCTGAATATTACGGTAAATATTATAATAATCATGAGATTATTATGATAAATATTACAATCTTAAGATTACAATAAATTTTAACTATGCACCTTTGTTTTATTCTATTGAGCCCTTGAAGTCCACAATTTCTCATAAAAATAGAAGTTTCCTTTTTGGGAAATAGTATTTCACACACATTCATAGACGCTTACAGAATAATAGAATTAAAAAAGCTGCTGCTCTTTGACAGTTTTCTCAAACTTCAGTTAGTTCTAGTTTATTACGCTGTTATTATGGGTATGTTTTTTTCTTTTTAAGTTTCAAGTTGTCAAATTTGAATGGAAGAAATAGCAAACGAATCCTTGGGATTATTTTTCATAAACTGTTTAGCCGTCACAGTTTCATAGTTGGTTGAAATCATCGGTGTTCACGTTTTCAGAGAAGTGGATTTAATTATACTACATCCAGTTTATTCTTCGAATTATATCATTATCTTCAAGTTTCACGAATTCGGAAATACTAATTGTGAGACTAATACTAAAAGTAAGAGACTAAATACTTATAATACAATATATCGAGTGTTAATATAAAATGTACAATAACATATTAATTAATTAATAGATGTACATATAAATTAAGCTTCGTTCATTAGAAACTGGCATACCTTCGTTTAAAGACTAATCTCCATCTGTTATGCCTCTATCCATTGAATAACTGTACAATATGCGTTGGTTGATCGAGTTTCTTTCATATACATAATACACAAGCACACTTGTCTTCGTTCGTAGTAGACATTCATCATAATTGGAACGATGCTTAGGACTCTAGTCCTAATAATGGTAGCTCTCACATTTGATCGCATATTCATGAAAATTTTGTTGAAACGAACTCTATAACAAGCTCTGCTGCACTTTCACAAATAAATTCTTTTCTGATTTTCGATCGACTTCTTTCGAACAACGATCGCTCCAGTCGTAGTTCGCCAGAAAAAGACCAAAAAAAAAAAAAAAAAAAAAACAACAGGGGAAAGAGAAAGGAGTGGGTAGATCGCGTATTCGTTGAATGCAAATGTTCGTTGGTAATAGAGTGGTCGTAGATTTTTAAATCGGTCGGAGCCACGTTGCCTCGAACGAAGCACGCGAGTCGGCTCCGTGTAATTTTCAAGCGGCGAGATCGCGTCGCGAGCAATGGGAACCAGTCATGGTGTTCGATCCACAGAGAGATCGTTCGGGGGAATCGGATTCCCAGCGGCCGATTATACAGCACGTCCATAACGAATGCGGGATATGCACGTTAATGACTTCTTCTGGATCGCGCCGTATGAATTATTTAAGCCGCGGGGGACCGCGTTCAATTTCAGGTCAAAGGCGAAACGGTTCACTCGCGGTCCCGTGATCCTTCTATTCTAGTTCGCGCAACGCGAACCACGACGATGAGGAACAATGAGCGACGCGCGTGAAGATCGGTTATCGGCGGTATTATTCATACGAGCGCGCTTCGATCGAAACAGGATTGTTGTGCCTGTAACGGTGCGCGACTGGGTAAGGAAGAATTTTTTTGCGAAGGGAATCCAAGAGGCTGCACACGATTGCTCGCGAAAATATTCGTGCGTTTAATAGCAGTTGTTTTTTTTTTTTTTTAATGGATGCATTATGTGTGTTGCCACATGAGACATTTATGACGAAACGTGACACGGTTATATCGGTCAAGCTTTTGGAACAAGTTTAAAAATGTATGTAGGAGTTACGAGTATACATCAATGAGACACGATATTCAGTTCTGATATTCATTTGACAATCATTGATATAGTTAAGATGGTTATTCACACTGTGTACTGAATTTTTACTAAACATATATATTCACAACGAATATCTTGTCAACATATATATACTTTTATTATATATTTTTATTATTTTTATTTTTATTTATTTTATACTTTTATTATTTTATTTTTATTTATTTTATACTTTTATTATTTTATTTTTATTTATTTTATACTTTTATTATTTTATTTTTATTTATTTTGTACTTTTATTATTTTATTTTTATTTATTTTATACTTTTATTATTTTATTTTTATTTATATTTATATTTATTATATATTTTTCGTATTGGTTCTAAGTTTTACTAATATTTACATATAATCAACTATCACTTAAAACCATTAATTTTTAATTATATTTTATTAATATTAATAGTAATATTAAGAGTTGCTTCTTTAACTTTGAACGAAAAATTTTAAGTTATATATAATATCGGAAGAGTCCAAATAAATTGTTATTTAAATGTTTTAGCGATATATTAAAATTAATTTTTTAAAAATTCAACTAATTATCATTATTAATGGAAATGAGCTGAAAGTCAACATATTGGTTGTTATTGCCAATAAACTAAAAATCGTCAAAATCGAGAACGTTCGAAATCAATTACCGCGTCCAATTGCAGTGTGCGTTTCACTTCGACGTACAGCGAGGAGCAAAATTGAACCAATGCAAGTACTGTCGTAAGTGATGATAAATTATTTATGCATTGTAGTAGAGAATAAGAAGAATCTGTTGCATATATTGATTAACAATTGTCAATAACAATAAATTAATAACAAATTGTTAACATATATTAATTAACGTTTGTTATAGTAAAGTAAGTGTTAATTAATATATGCAGCAAGTTCCTTTCCTTGTTAGAATATGCAAATAAATTGTTATTTCCTACAAAAGCACGTTCATTGGTTCAATTTTGCTGCTCACTGTATACGGTCCATCGTCGTTGCCATCGCCGTTTCTAGATGCTAGTTGTTCGCTTAACGTTTTGCATAGAACGTCCAACAACGCGCGTGTGATCGCGAGTCGTCGTCATGTGCAAGATCCATACGGCGCAGCGTATAACTGCATCTAAGGTGCGTTGGATCTCCCCGCGCGGTCCCGTGTGTGTTCCAGCTTCCAGCGAGTCGAGGAACAGGACTGGTGGTCGCGCGCATACATACGTACATACATGCATACATGCATACATACATATGTACATACGTGCACGGGACGCGCTATTTGCCCGGCAGAAACGAACGAAAAGTGGGTCAACGGCTGGCTGAATGCCTGGCTCGCTCGACTGCCTGTTGCGTCTCAGCGGAGCCGCTTTCTCTTCTCTCGCGGCGCAGCGACACCGTCGTCGAAGGAATTCTAACTCTTATGTGTGATCCAACCTCCCACTTCAAACTTTTCCTCCTCGTCATCTTCTTCTTCTTTTTCTTCTTCATCTTCTTCTTTTAATTCCTCGCCTTTGTGTTATTTTCTTTCGTTGCCGATCCTTTGGGGCTACAGGGACGACATCTGCGCACCGTGCTAGCCTCTGTTAATTAATTAGCTGTATCTTTTAAATGTCACATGTACTAAATTCCACGTAATTAGTAGACTGCGGATTTTTACTCATTTACGGGCAATTGGAATATATGAAAGTTTGTAGAATACATAAAGTAATTATTGTAATGAATTTATTACTGTATTTAGTATTGATACATACGCTGCTGGCCTCTGTTGATTAATTAGTTATATCTCGACGTCTTTTAAATGTCACAGTGCTAAATTCTACATAATTATTAGACTGCGGATTTTTACGCATTTATGGGAAATTGGAAGATATGAAAACGTGTAGAACGTATGTAAAAAAATGCATAAAGTATTCACTATAATATTTAATATTGGTAAATAAAGTATTAAATAATATTTATTAAAGTATTTACTATAATATTTAATATTGGTAAATAAAGTATTAAATAATATTTATTAAAGTATTTACTATAATATTTAATATTGGTTAATAAAGTATTAAATAATATTTATTAAAGTATTTACTATAATATTTAATATTGGTAAATAAAGTATTAAATAATATTTATTAAAGTATTTACTATAATATTTAATATTGGTTAATAAAGTATTAAATAATATTTATTAAAGTATTTACTATAATATTTAATATTGGTAAATAAAGTATTAAATAATATTTATTAAAGTATTTACTATAATATTTAATAGTGGTGTATATAATTTTATATTAATCTAATAATGAAAGAAATTTATTGTTACTTGTTAATGAAAGTTACGATATAGAATAGATGGAAGAAATTTCTATTTACATTTCGTAACTATGTTCACAAAAATTTTGAAGTACACAAAACTCGGCAATATAGTAATTGTAAATCAAACAGTGTGGGACCATACCACTTGCAAATAGAATATTTATTAACACAGGAAAAAATATATAAATTTTTTTTCTCTCTTTGTTGAACGAATATTTCACAACTTATCGTACAGTATCAAATTATCAAGATATAATCGTAATATATTTTCCTTCGTTAATTATTTTCTATAGTTCAAAAAGTCTAAATTATCTGCAGATGTTATATTACTGTTGACGTTACTGTTCCTGAATTGTTAAAATTGGTCATCAGTTACTTGTCAAATAACTCATTGATTATTAACATTTTTTACATTGTTCTGCCTTGTTTCGGATAATCTTGAGTTAGGTTGGTTAATTAAGAAAGGAATGGTGCTGCTACGTGGACGTGTAACTTTACGGTGCGTTGCTAATCGACCTTGATAAGGTAGCAGCGGGGTTCAACGGCGCGCATGCGTGAAGTTTAAGGTTTCCGGTTGAACCTTGAAACTGGGTCGAAGAGATATGATACTTCTGTTTAATTAAATGTATCGAATTTGTTTTATAGATCGCTTTGAACGTCTGTGGTTTGTATAGTAAGATATTCCTCTCGTTCGATCAGAGGATAATTACATAATATTTATGAAAATGAAGAACAACATTTTTTGCATCTTGGATTTCGTTTTCAAGTTTAAAAATTTGTCAAATGTAATTTCTGGTTAATCTCAGATTAAGCAGAAGGAAATAAAACATGAAAATAAATGAAAAATATAGAATGAAATTTTTCTTCGTTTCGTTGAAAAATTAGTGCAAACACAACGTGTATTAATTTTAAGCTAATACTTGACTAAACATGTTCAAAGTCTAGTCTACTAGAAACGAGCTTACATTTTTTGCTTAAATTTTTCGAATTCAATTTTCTCAGAAGCAAGACATTTAATGGAAATGAAAACTTTATTTCTCGTTTTCATCGTTCGCTGTTTATCCAATCTAGATTTAGCGAAGTAAAAGTACGGTTGATAAATTTTTAATATCGATGTTCACTAAAACGAAAGCTTTTTTTCTTATTTTTTCACAAAGAATCACGCTCAACTTTTGACCGTACCCTATATAAATAACAGCTTCCATTTTTTATTACATTTTTTCATATAGACTTCAATTCATCGTATTACAGAATTTACTGATAATTTACTATAATTTACAGAAGCAAATTATACAGTTCAATTTTGTCTGCGGTTTTAATGTTAATTTTTCGAAATTATTCAGCCGCCGAATTTACAGTTATTATCGAATGATCCTACTTCTTTCTAACGCAACTTTTGTCGACTAACAAATCAGTCAATTTGCATTTTCTTTCATCCACCAGTCAGCTTTATTCGCGCGAGGCTTAATTGTTTTACATTACCACAGAATTCTTTCGCGTCGCTATTAATCTTCGTCCATGATAAATTTATCTACTTGGCTCTTCCTGGCTTCTACTCTTTTCATTATTCCTACTCTTTCCCAATTGCCAATTGGCTAACCGCTAAATCTACCGAACACATTCTTAAAAACTCGTTGCCGTATCGAGAGACAGGCATTCATGCAAATGGACACCATATAGAGACATTAGAGATAACGCGAGTTTTGTTGAATACGGGAGAGAAAACGACTCTCGCAAACGACTCGCTGGTAATGACGTTTCCGATGTGAAAATCCGCGAATGAATTATAACGTTCAGCAATGAAATTTAAAATCGATGGGCAGTTTGTCTTGGATAATGGAAAACGTGAGACATTGTAATATTTTTATCGAAATGTACGTATATATATATATATATCTTTATCGTTTGATTTTCGAAAATTTCTCCGGCATTAAATTGCGAGTAAATATATTTTCTGGATCAATCCATTAAGGATTTATCACAACGTTATAAATACTAAAATTTCTTAAAATTACAGAATCTGGGTGAAAAGTATAATGATTTAGTGGAAATATATTTAACTAATCGTCCGGATTTCTTCTTATAATCCAAGTATCGTAGGATATTATAAATTGGTCGGGGAAAATTGCAAATGAAATGTTGCCCCTTGAAATAAATACTGTTAGACTTTCTAAAGCTGTTAGATCCTGCCGTTGGAATTTCTGTTTGAGACACAATCGATATTAGATTTAACACATTTCTGTATTTCTTAATATTTTAATTTCTAAATGATGGAGTCGTCAGTATGTTTCTTCGATCGACTGTATCGTGAATTTCTTCTGTTTTACGTAATCTCTCGACACGGTTCTTTCTGTTTCAGTGCGGCAGCATTCTGCACGCGCAGCTGGAGATTTGGAAAGCAGCGGTCGAAGATTCACCGCGTAACACACTGGCAGCTTCCTGGGTCCCCCCCGTTGTTCAAACACCAAACAGCAATAACAACGCACCGTCCCCTATTGCAAACACAGCTCCAGCCAGCGTCAAAGGCTCCACTTGCAGCGTAGATTTCTCCGATGGTGAGTCGATTTCTAAATCATTCGGAATTTTATAATTGCTCCTAATACGCCGAGGTTTCTTCAACTGCTTTTGCCTTACAATAATAAATCCAGGACAAGTGACAACACGATTTCTCTGAGAGTTGAATTCAAAGATGCTGGAATTATTACTCTCGAATTTTAAGAAATTAGAATAGGGGACTTTGTAAGGAATTATAAGAAATATGGGGAAAGGGACAATGATCGCGTTACTTACGGGATGACCTAATATTTATAAATTCAGGAATTCCTTTTATAACCAATTTTTAACTGATAATGTTTAATTGATAACCAATTAATTGAAATGCGTGTGATTTATTTAATTAATCGTACGTGTAAGTAAAAACGAAATTGTGAGGCAAACGAGATAAAAAATATCTCGCCATGACACCAAATTAAATATGCTTGCTCTTTCAAATGCAAATTACGATTCATTCGTGAATGAAATTCACGAATAATATATGAAAACTCCTTGCCAAGTAACGTACTTCAAATCTGGCTATAAATTATACGAACGAAAATTGTAAAACGAAAGAATTAACCCTTAAATGCACACGGTTGCATATTTGCAGTGTTCTATATCATTAGTTCTAAATTCAAAGAAACAGTACACGAGCACAGCTAATATGTAAAACAACCCTAGAGACGATCGTAATCGGAGTTACACGAAACGCTTATCCTTCTGTCTCCTCTTTCGCCCTGTTATCTCGAATGTCTTGTGTAAAACAACAAAAACCTGGTACATTCACGAAGCAACTAACAGCAAGAACAACCTCGACTAATGCACATAGAACATGCGTGTTATAATCGCGCTTCTATTCAATAACCATCATCAACTGCATCTGCTTTACCAATCGATTCTGTAAATCACATGTTTCTACAATCTATAAACGCAACGAAGTTACAGTAAATTGTAGAAAAATGATTGTATCTAACACGAACAGTTAAAGTGGTTATCCTTCTGTCTCCTCCGCGTCTTGTCTCAGCAATCACCCGATACATCCATCGATCGATTAACAGCAAGAGCAACCTCGAAAAACTCACCTATCCAATGACCAACTAACAACCACCAAAACCAAGCCTGTCGACAAGCTGCACGCGTCTAACCATCACGCTGATCAGAAACGAAAACAAGCATGTCTCTCACACGTTGCAACAAAAATCGGCGATCTTCGCAAGATCCACTGTGTCTTCGAAGCACGCAAACGCAGTGGAGTGGATTGACGAAACCGGGGCGTTTCCGGTCGAACGCCGATTTCTTTTTGCAGACGACGACGAGGACTGTGGCTCGCAAGCGGGTACTGGCGGTGGCGGAAGTGGCGGCGGTGGTAAAATGCGCAACGGTGGCTCGCACATTCACCTGTGGCAGTTCCTGAAGGAGCTGCTGCAGAGCCCCGGCATTCACGGTTCCTGTATACGCTGGCTGGACCGCGGCAAGGGTGTGTTCAAGATCGAGGACTCGGTGCGCGTGGCCAGGCTCTGGGGCAAACGGAAGAATCGGCCGGCCATGAACTACGACAAGCTGAGCCGCAGCATCAGACAGTACTACAAGAAAGGGATCATGAAGAAGACGGAGCGTAGCCAGAGGCTGGTCTATCAGTTCTGCCATCCTTACTGCCTGTAAAACTCTTGCTCCTCGGTCCCGTTAAGCCTTCCGCGTTCGCGAGCCTCCGACAGCGTGTTATCTCGACGCTATTCAAAAACCTCCTCGTCGTATTTATTCCTGGTGAACCGTGTTCGATCGCACGATTTAGACAGACTTCGGTTAATTTATGATCGCGAGAACTCGTCGGGGTGAAACATCGTCGATTTCTCGTTTCTGCACGTCAGAATCGCCGGCAAGTTTGTCATTATCGTCAACGTCGTCGATCGTCGAGCGCGAAGGGTTAACACCGAGTTTCAAACTCAAGGTCGTCCAGGCTGACCACCTTGAGGCCGGCGTTCAGTTTTTTCGAAGGGCTTCCGACTCTTTCTGCGTGCAATAATTTTTTTTTTTTTTTTTCCTCGCGAAGACGAGCGACATCGCGATATCGCGTGTCTGTCTCTCTTTGTTGCGCGCGTGGTGTCCCTCTCCGGTGTGGCTGATTTTTACGAGGAAAAAGGAAACAATTTGAAGAAAGAAAGGAAAGGAAATGAAGAAGAAGCGGAGAAGCGGAGAATCAGTGCGGAGGTCGAAGGTAAAAGAAGATACGATCCACCGAGTGTCCGGTGTGTATTATCCTTCCGAGGATAATCTCGTGCCACCGGTGGGTACCATTGAGTACGCCCGTTTTGGGCGATCCCTGTTTTCTTCCCTCACCCTGTATCCTATTTTTTTTTTCCTCACCTCTGTCTTTCTCACTGCAACATAAACGATTGCCCCCGGTAAAAGAAAAAAGAAAAACGAAAAAAAAAAAGAACAGTAAGTTTCACTCCTTCCATTTCACGATCCACGATTATCCCTGGTTCCCGATTGTCGAGGGCGTCGCGACGTTTGCGGAGTCGATTTTCCAGTTTCTCGATCGGCGCTCTTTTCCCTTTCTCGATCACTCGTCTCCAATCCGAAGATTCATTTCGCGTATTTTGGTATTTTGAGTGTTTCAACAACGCGCGATTTCGCGATAATAATCGGCCAGTCGCCGATGTTAACGTATCGATGCTATCACTTAATCAGCAACGAAGTATATCATCGCACGTACTAACACTAACGTTCTACTAACGTAACGATAACGATATGTAGTACGATAATGCTGCTAGTATTATTGCTATATTCCCACGATGTCGGTAATACTGCTACGATATTATTAACCACATTACTAACCTAAATGTTAACGTCGTAACGCGCCAATGCTGGTATTAAATCGGTATTATATACCGTTGTATTATCATCAGCACGTTATCGGTGTACTTATAACGCGTCGTTACGTTAACACGCGACATCGCGGGCACGATTATGTCAATGCGGCTCGTGACGAGAGAGAACGAGGGAAATCGACGCGTTCGAGATCTCGTCCGGAGGTACGTCCTGCGAGTACATCGAGCGTGCAACGTTGGAACACCGATCGTTGTTGTTATTTAAGGATGGAAGAACAACAAGGAAGATGCGAGTCAGTGGAGATTTCGTTGAAGAAAAAGGAAAGAAACTGCTCTTTCCTCTCTGTTCTCACGAGTTGCTTACCAGCGCCGGTCGCCGAAGCCTCGAGCTGATCCACGGATCCACGATATCCACGGACGATCCAGCTCGCGGAACTATTCGCCCATGCTGGACTCGTCCCGCTATTTTAATGTTTCTCTTTTTTTCCCCTTTTTCTTGCTTTTGCAAGAGAGATATATTCTATCGAGATTACATCTGTTACTCGGTGGTACCGGACGAATATTTTTTTTTTTATCAGACATTAACATATTCCACGAACGCAATGCTAGCTTGTGAAAAGTTTTAAACTTTCAGAAGAAATTTCTTAAGATTTTAAAATTTTATATATATACATTTTATATATAAAAAGAATTAATTGTCTATTTTTTTAGGGAAAATATTTCGAGAATTCAAAACTATTGTATTTATATTAGAGAGAGGGAGAAAGAGAGATATTTTTGATACTACGCCTGTATAGAATAAACATATTTTTCTAGACACATTTCATGTGCCTTTGAACGTTAGAAGATGCCTTCTTCGAGACGAGTTCCATATTCCATACTTTAAAGAAACAAAAGAAAGAAAAAAAAAAAGGAGCGATCTGTCACGCGTCCTTTTGCGGATGCGTGCAGCGTTGCGCGTCGAGCAGACCGAGAAATTTCACTCGCGTCGGCGTGAAACGATCGACGCACGATCGATTCGTCCTACGATATGCGATCACGCGTTCCCTTCGTTCTACGGGAATGCATGAAACTATTTCGGAAAGACAGAAAACGAAAAATGTGGCAAAAATTGCAGAGTGAGAGAGAGAGAGAGAGAGAAAGAGAGAGAGAAGAAAAGCGTGGAAAAGTTAGAGAAAAATGGCGATCGTGAATAGCTCGGGGCTGAAACGTTTTTGGCGCGGCTGGTTCTGGTGATTTTGGTCCCATATATCTATGATATATTAAACATTGTATGTTCCATGAACGATCTAGCATGTAAGTTTCACTTTAGGCATGTAAGCACGATGGTGGCTCACGTGAGCCGCCTGTTAAGTTACTCGAAGAGATTCCCCTCTATATATTTCCTCTCCTCCGCCTTTCACTTTTTTTTTTAAATTCTTTTTTTTCATTTCCAAATGGCGGTCAATTCCGTTAATCGTCGTGTTAACTTATCGTTCATTAAGTGTACTTTTCTTCTTTTTATTAAGATTTATTTAAACTCTGCTCTAAATACTTATTCGGAATGTCCCTGTGATGTCCCGACGATCGACTAAAGGATGAATTCCGCGTGTGAATGCAAGTTGCTAGGAAAGGATATTTCCTGTTTGCTCAAAATTGTATTCTTGAGAAAATTGAGTTTGCAAATTTTGCTTATAGCTCTATTTGATATTGACTTTACGCGCGAAAGTAAATTAAAAAATCTAGGAAAATATTTTTCCACAAGACGGTTTGTTTTGTTTGGTAGATATTCGTAATTTCTTGTAGAAATTTTCAAGATTCACAATGATGGAATTCCGAAATTCACAATTTTACTTTGCGTGACTTTTGATACAGGTTTCGATTCTTTATTACATACCTACTATATAATCTATTTCTCTGATATCAATCAGTTCAAATTTCGTTTTCATGAAAATATTCCTTGGAATTATCTAAGATTTTCAAACTCGATTTTTTCTGGAAAACGAAGCTTTAAAAGAAATATTTTTTCATCTCGAGTCGTCCTCGGTAATACCGAGATCGGGTTGCATCACTATCACAGGAACATTCCATAGAATTCCTGGCGATCGTCGATCTTCGATCCCTTAAGTTCAATTTAAGTATCGAACGAAGAATTACTTTAAAAAATAACAAGATCGAATTAGTAATAAAATTATGAATTTCGATTGAAAAAGTATGTAATTTTTCTATAATTTCAGATACTTTCATACGTGATAAAATATGTAGACAAACTTGTTTTAAAAGTATTTTTTTTTTTTTTTTTGTAATGTAAAAATGCAAAGAATACCAAGGAAAGCCAAGACACATGAAATATTTGAAGTATAATCATTATAATTATCATTTTTACAATTATGTTCTTTAAATATGAAATTGTATAAAGATTATCGGAGTAGGAAAGACTGAAAATGATTTCTTCAGATAAAAAGTGAATAAGAAATGAGTGAAAAACAAAACACTGAGCCTAATTCAATGGCCAGAGGCTGTAGTTATCTGTGACTTAATATTATTCGAGAGTTAAGAAAGATCGAAGATCGAGCGAACAGTCGGGATTAACGTTTATTTATAACGCGATTTTATTCTATGATTATTTAAGAACTTACCCATTGACAAGCAAACCCATTGACAGATTTTTACTAACATCCCAATCGTATATCGCTCACCGATATTGGTTGTACATAATACTCGACATTTAATCATTTTGTACGTTCGTTTTATTATTATTATTATTATTATTATTATTATTATTATTATTATTATTATTATTATTATTATTATTATTATATATTATTATTATATTTTTTTTAATAATTATTTATTTAACTGAGTTCGTAACCGTATTAATATATTTTATATACGTACGTTACATTGTTAGAAAGTTGTTCTCTACGTAAAACGTCGAGGTCGTCGTGGCGTGGCATGCCGTGGGACTGGTTTCAATCTCGCGTTTCGGGCTCTGTCTTCGCCGGGGCATGTTAATTAAATTGAACGATAAAGAAGCGTTCCCGAGCGGAGGATCGATTGTTTCAAAACGGCGGAATCAATACGATGAGATTTTTCGACGAGCCTGGATAACTATCTTCTGTCGTTCTCTATGTGCAATTTACCGCGCCAAATATTTATTGTATGTATATAGTTGCTCACAAAAGTATTCGAACTACATTGTAGTTTTCTAAAAACTATCATTACACGTGATTTTTTTTTTTTTTAAATTTCGCTAACATGGTGATAAAACTGGATTATTATGGTTATACATTACAAGAGATATAGGTGATACAATTATGTATGTTGTATATATTATTTCGCGGATAACAAAACTATTATTTAAATGATCTGTTACGTGATCTATTTAATGATCTGTTGAGTCAGTAAAATTTATTATTCAACGGGATCGTCTTTTTTTTTATTAAATGTATATTTGCAATGAATATCATGCGACTTTATAGATTCTTAGAATTTCCATCTGATTGTAATCCTGGCATTCGTGTCTCATTACAGTATTAATAAGACGAAGGAGAGTTTAAAATTGATATTTATTTAAAATTGATAGATAATCCTTACATTAAACATACTTTTATCTACAACTAACAACAGTCATCTATTTCGTTACGTCCGTTCATTGCAATATAATTTCATGTTGCAGACATTGCATTCCACTTCGAATCCATTTCTCTTTCAAAATTTGTTCTATGATGTTGCAATTAAGCGTTCGAATACTTTCGCGAACCTCTGTGCATCGAAATCTCGCGAATTCTCGAAACAGATCGTTAAGCCAAAGAGCATGACGACAAGCTCGATTATGTTCTTGAAACCAGAGAGAATGAAAAGTATCTTTAGCATTTTTTAATTGCAAAGCAATTGCGAGCGAAAGAGCGAGTGACTCGTTCTGCTAAAGAAAAGAAAAAAAGAAAAAAAAAAGAGAGAAAAGAAATTGGCAAATATATATACGTGTATGTTATCATCGAGATCGTTGTAAACGTTCATGGAAGCCTGGTTGAATTGTAATCGGCATGTGAATTGATTTTCAGGACAACAAACGTGTAAACAAGCATTCAAGCCTGTAATATTTCTGTTCGAAACATGAATACTCATTACCCACGATTCAATCAATGTGTCTCAAAATTCCAGTTACCAATAAAAACGCAAAACGAAAAAAGCAAACCCTTGGTGTTTTATTTCGCGAATTCTTCTGAATATCCGAAAACTCGTCGCGTACACATAAGTGAAGTAAATTGACTTTGGTGAGCCTCGAAAGAAATGATACAATCTCGCGATAATCTCATCTTAATGTTGCCGACATGAAATTATTCAGTGTTGATTTTAATCTCATATGTACATTAAATCTCTGACAGTATTATACCTTGTAAGTAATCGGTATTAAGTGAATAAACGAGTTAATCTTGAACTCGCAACTATTTGAGGGTTCAAACGAGATCGTTTAAAATGCTAGTAGTAAACGTTTCCATTCTTTGAGATGAGCTTTGTTCAGATTGAAACGTATAAATTCGACGCGCTTCATTTGACTTTCATGGATGACACGTAATAGTATCGTGTTTGAGTCTGTCGCATGATCTTCGTAAAAATCGTGAATAGAACAGTACGAAAATGAAATGGAATCGTTTCATTGGTCACCACTCGTGCACTTGATAATCTCCATTAAAGTAGCTGAAGGTGACGATACGGTGTACAGCTTTGCTCAAGAAGAAAAGGAAAAATGAAAGCTTATACAACGAGGAACCCGTAAGATGTTAATATTAGGCGTACAAACTGAATCTTCTTTTTATAAATTTATCTACGTATAATATATTTCAATCACTTGTATCTGCTAACAATGGTATTATAATATTATAAATAATAAAAATAATATAATAATAACATATATTATTTTTATTATATAATTTTAATACATAATAAAATATATAATAAATATTTTTAATATATAATAAAAGTAAAGTAAATAATATAAATGTTATAAATGGTGTTCAAATATTAATAAAATACAAGATACATATAAATACGAATTAAATAGCGATCATTGAAACATACGATATCGAAAGATATTAAAAGTAACTTGACATTTGACCAAATAATCAGTGATATTTACCGATTGTTGAAGTAAAAACTGCACGTCGCACTCACCTCGTATCAGAATTATTTTTCGAAAATACCTGTTTCGCGATTGCCCTCCTCCAATAGCAAAAGAGAGAATGATTATTGGCGCTCGTATCGTTCGAACGCATTGAAAAGATCAGTCATAATCGTAAACCACTGATGGATTATCAGTTTAGCAGCTACGTGATATCGATCGAGCGGCTCTCAGATTTATCTGCACAGATCCGCCGTTTTAGCGGCGAAATCGGCAAGCAAACAACAGCATGAAAATTTATTCGATTAAGAATCGACGCGGTTCGCGGTCAATGAAAGATGGTTTTCTGCGATTTCTCTGCAGGTTTTCAAGGATCTCTGTTCAGAGAAATGCTTCGGTCCTTGCAAATGAAAGGTTTATAGAAGTTGACGTTCGTTATGATGTAAATCGCGATGATAACGCGGCGGAGAGGTGATCGTTCAATCTGAAACATTTCCACTCTGTTTCTTTCCTTTCCTTTCGTTTTTTTTTTTCTTTTTCACGGTTTAAAAAGGATCACAGA